TGGCTTGGCTTTACGGAAATGTAAGATCAAAAGGAAAAGAGAGTTAAAAAACCCACTGAGCACTGAGAGTAACAGTAAATGAAACCTTTTTGGTCCTTTTGCAGAGGTCGGGGTGAGGAAGCAGTGAAGACTTTGAACTCAGAGGGACTCAAACCCAAGTTCCACCAGCTGGACATCAATGACTTGAACAGCATTAAAAACGCTGCTGCCTACTTTAAAGGGAAGTATGGAGGAGTGGACATTCTCATCAATAATGCTGGAATAGCATTCAAAGGTAGAATCATAAACATATACTGATGGATCCACATATACAATAATCTGAAACTGCAGCTATAAATTGAAATTGATGATTCAACACGTCATCTCTTTTCCTGTTAGCGTCAGACACAACTCCCTTTGGTGTCCAGGCAGAGGTGACCCTGAGGACAAACTTCTTTGCCACCAGAGACGTGTTGACTCACTTCTTGCCACTCGTCAAAGCTGGAGGTACAGATGCAGAGCCAGTCTACTGCTGCTCAAGTTTTGGTTTTTATTTTGATAAAAATATTCAGACTCCTTCAGATTCACACTAACTGTAAAGCATGGTGGAAGTAGCATCATGCTAGGTGTTGCTTTGGAGCAACAGTGAGAGGTAATTACTACTGATGGTTTCCATAAAACCTAGAGGAAGGAATGGGAAGTCCTACACCACAAACACTGAATAGAAGTGAAGCACGGTACTGAGTGCTTTAGGCATCTAATTGTATGTGTTGTAGGGCATGTGGTGAACGTCTCCAGCATGCTTAGCGCCAGCGGTTTGAAACAGTGCAGCCCAGAACTCCAGCAACGTTTCCGCAGTGAGGACATCACAGAGGACGAGCTGGTGGCACTGATGCAACGATTTGTTGATGAGGCCAAGAAAGGAGAACACAAGCAAGGCGGCTGGCCTGATATGTCGTATGCAGTATCCAAAATTGGAGTGACGGTACGACTGAACACTTTGTCTTTAGATTTTTACCTGACGAGGTTGCAAAATATGCTCAAAAAAATGAGCACAGTGGTCAGCACTGTTGCCTCACAGCAAGAAGGTCCTGAGTTCAATTCCACCTTCAGTCTTTCTGTGTGGAGTTTGCATGTTCCCCCCGTTCTTGCGTGGGTTCTCCCCAGGTGGGTTCTCCCCAGGTGGGTTCTCCCCAGGTACTCCGGCTTCCTCCCACAGTCCAAAGACATGCACTTTGTGGGGATAGGTTAATTGATTAATCTAAATTGCCCACGGGAGTGAGTGTGAGTGTTGTCAGTCACTGTGTGTTAGCCTTGTGACAGACCCCGCCTCTCGCCCTATGACAGCTGGGGTAGGCTCCAGCATCCCCCGTGACCCTAAAAAGGATAAGTGGAAGCGAATGGATGGGATGGAGGTTGAAAAATGGAGGAATATTCAGATAGGGCAGGCTAAAGTCAACCTGCAAATTCATTTTTCCAAACTTGATCCCTGAACATTTGCGAAACTTCAAAGACAAACTTCAATTAAAATGCTTTTGCTTTAGTTTTAAATTCTTGAATCTCATTCATTATGTTTGTTTGTGTTTTAAGGTACTATCCATGATTCATGCTCGTCGTCTGTCTAAGGAGAGACCAAAAGATGGGGTAACGCAAATTTATGATCTTAAAATCAAATTATAAACAACTGTCTTGATTCTTCTATGCTGTGCAGCAGACCAGTTTGTTTTATTGATATAGTGCCAAATCACAACACCAGTTGTCTCAAAGCACTTTATATTGTAACGTAATAACAGTGTGGAAATAAATTAAACAGGACTTAATATGATGTTATGTATTCTTAAAGATTTTGTTCTGTCTTTGAAGCCTTCCTTCTTATTCTTGTTATTCTTTTTTTTACAGATCTTGATTAACGCATGCTGTCCAGGGTGGGTACGCACTGAGATCGCTGCGCCAGGAGCCCCAAAGTCACCAGATGAGGGCGCCATAACACCGGTCTACCTGGCCCTGCTTGCCCCCGGAGCCACTGAGCCTCATGGAAAGTATGTCTCCGATAAGGAAGTTCAGCCATGGTGATAGAAAGTTGAATATCTAATGACATAAAAAAAAATAATGTACAAAAACAATGTAGTTATTTTATAAGTTTAAACTTTTTCTTGCCAGAATGAAATTTGTAATATTTAAGGCCATAATGTGATACATTAGATCTAGAAACGCCCGTATCACACAGCTAAAACCAAAACGTTTGTTAGGTTAAATCCATCAATTTAAAAATGATGTTCTGATAACTGACAGTGTTCAACTGATGAAAACAAAACGTAGCTATATTTGTTTCTTACGTGTTTTAACAAGAGAAAAGTAAACTTGCTGTTTCTGAATGAAGATATTTTAAAAAAAGAAAATAAAATGCTTGTTATTAAAACTTTACTGTGATTTTTTTAAAACAATAAATTGACTTTAGGTTGAAAATGTTTTTGAAAGAACATAATAGGTTTATGGCTACAATGTAATTTTATTTATATAATATAAAATTACAACATTGTGAATAGTTGTCAAAAAGCAGTGAGCTTGAGGTGTGAATCGGTTTTTAAAGCAACTTGTCTGGGGTGAAGAATAGGTCACACGTTGTACCCATACTGTCGGTGTTTTGCTTATCGGGGCAATGTAGAGCAGAACCACAAAGGAAGCTAAAACATAAACATCCTGTCCTGACAAAATGCTGTTTGCTGGACAAAAGCACATACTCTGTTCTAAGCCTCATACTTTTATATGTCCGTAGTGCTAGAGATGCAGTTATATGCTCCATGTTGGTCTTTGACCCTCTTGCTGAATGTGTAGATGCAGCAGAGGATAGTGCCTCTAAATGTGCAGAAACGCTGGTTTGCAAACTGCACAATGTGATCGGATCAATAGAACAAACTCTGGCTGCTTGTTTAGACGCGCAGAGAACTTTTTGATTTGCGTGACTTGACGGTTGACTCGAGTACAGCTGCAGAAATCAGGATCAAGATTAACTCAGCTCTGCCAAGTTCACATGAGAGTAACTGGGTGTGTCTGTTTCTTTAGTTTGTAGAATTCAATAGTTGATGTTTAATCAGCAGGTTCTTGCTCACATATTTAACTAAAAGAATATATATTACAGAATGGCAGCTCCAGAGGCCACAGAGATAAAGCAAACACTGTTTTACCTTCATTTTTATAAATGCATCAGATTAACAGAAAGATACGTTAGTTTAAACTTCCACACCCTTCCACATAACCTGTACAACTTGCTTTTGTGCTGCGCGGGACTCGCTTGAAAGAATGTTCAAAATTGAAATGATTAGAGATTTAGGTGAGGCAGCAGCGACAGGCCTAAGCATTGTGCAGCATATCAGCGATGGATGTTTTTAAGGACAATGCAGTCATTAATACGGACTAGCTTAAAGCAGTGCAATGAAAATTTGATGATGTGCTGTGCCCTGACTCTTTGCACGTTCAACTCGTGTGACCTTTC